AGTATACCCCTTCCATCTTCATTTGCTCTTCTACGAGTAGGTAATTATTTGTTCATAAAAAGGTGCTTTTCCAAGAGGCAACTGGACTTTCTTGCTTTTCTTAGAAGACATTTTGCTTCTCATCCAAGAAGCTTCTTCAGCTCTGACTGGATGGTGGGGAATGGAAAGATTTATATTCCTTGCAGAGAGCTGGTCATTTGCATTCTTTTAGAGCAGGAGTGTCAAACTGGCGGCCATCTAAAGAGACAAGATAATGTAACTATGATCGGGACCTAAAATTATCCAGGTGTCCAGGGTCTGATAAACAAAATATTAAGTGAGATGAACATTGAGGTGGGTATGTTTCAGAATTTTGTTTTGCTACTCTAAGATTTAACACTTTCCCAGTTCCCACTATATGACAAACAAATAGACATGTGGACTAATTCTCAAGCATTAGTTACTGCAGAGAAGGAAGTCATTGCAAACCTCAGTCTCTGACTTTCTGTTAGAAAGCAGTAGTAAGCAAGCAAAATATTGTGCAAAGTTGACAGCTCTGTTTTTGTGCAGTTTTTCTTTCAACTGAGAAATAATTGAATCCCTTTCCTATGCATTATTACTGGTCCAGTACAGTATTATCTAATCACCACATCTCCAACACGTGTCTTTTTTTTGTTATATCTGTGAATCTCTTTGGTTCACATCTTCAAACCATACCTTCATTTTGCTTCCTTTAAAAAATATTTTTAAATATAGAATACAAACAAATGCAACAAGAATGAAAGACTCTGAGAATGTAGCACAAAAAAATATATTACAGTAATGAAAATAAACTAAATATGACCAGAAAACCCTTTATTAACAGAAAAAAAATCTACATAATAACTACTTAAGCCTAGTGTTAAACCCAGACCATAGAGAAACATATTGCATCAGCTTCTTATATTTAATACATGCAGATTTTTAAAAAAAACCAATAAACTCATACCCAGGATACATTCCTTAAAATCAGAATGGTAAGTTTCTTTCAAGTTATGTAAAATTATCTTCTTTGCTGTCCCGGAGATTTCATACAGCAAAGCTCTTCATGAGATAAAAGCCCCATGTTTTAAGAGTATAGTTTAAGATCCTAAATGGCAATATTTATTCCCAAAATTGAATTGATGTATGTAGTGATATGAAACAAAAATAGGGCTATAGCTAGAGAAGATCACATAGTTAAAAAGTTGTTGCTTTCCAGTTAAGCCTACATCTCTCAGGGATCCTAAAATTGCAGACACCTCAGAGAGTGCGAGAACATTTGGATCAGGGGTGAAATGCTAGTGGTTTGGACCGGTTTGCCTGAATTGGTAGCAAAGATGCCAGCTGTCTGCCTGAACCGGTAGTAAAAAAAAATGCTACTGGTTCAGGCAAACTGGTTTTTCCAACGATCAGCTGTGCCACATGATTTATATTAGCTAGAAAGCAGGATTTCCTGCTTTCTAGTTAATCTAAATTGTGTGGCAAAAAGGATCCCCTCGCTGTTCGCTTACCTCACTTGCCAGGCGCACTAAGTAGCAGGCTTTGCCTACCCACTTGGACGTCATTTTGATCTCTGTACTTGCGTGTTCACATTGCTACCGAACCGATAGCAAAGGTAAGTGGATTTCACCCCTGATTCGGATCATGCTGTTTAATGCACATTTCAATTGCTAAGCAAATAATACAGGTAAAACATATTTAATCTCTCAGCATCCTTAAAACAGACATTAGTAATCAACTGATTTAAAGTGTTGACCCCTTGTTTAGCCCACGAATCCCAGGAAAACATCTTCCTTGCTATTTTCACATGTGGGTTCATTTCACAGTGCCAAATCCTCATGCAATTTTTGGATCATAACATAACCTTTATGCATTAAATTTAAAAAAAATGTGCTTGGCATTTTTCAAGGCTGAAAGTCAAAATCCCTATTAAGTATACCTGGCCCCTGCCAAGAAGTGTTATATGCTTGCTATCCAAATAGGCCCAGAGAGAATAATAATAATAAAAAGTCTTCTTCCAACACACGCAGAAATTAAAATAAAACCCCAGTGATTTAGTTGAAAATTTAGTATGTTAAAGCTGCAATCATCATAAAGTAACCTCAGTTTAGTTAAGGCTGTTTGAAGGACCTTAGCTTCCCATAAATATTTTCTCACCAACTTAATTGTGTAAAATATCTAATGTGAATTAATATTGGAATCTCTCTAGAACAGGGCTGTCAAACTCCCGGACCATGGGCTGGGTACGTCTTGTGCTGGCCATGCCCACACCCAGTTTAACAAAGGGGAACAAAGTCCCGATACATCACATGATGCTCCCATGATGACCTGAGTTTGACACCCCTGCTGTAGAATATACATTAATCTATGTAATATGCATTTTTATAACATTAATCTTGCCCCAAAGAATTAATGGGAATTTTAACTATTAACCTATCTATTAAAATTGTATCTATACATTTGGATATATTTGAGGCAATGGCAAATCACTTCTGAAAAACCTTAGCAAGGACACTGCAGGGAGTTATCTAGACAATCTCCAAGAATTGGACATGATTCAATGGAAGAAAAAGAAAAGCATAATTTGATATACTTTGAGAAAGATATAGAGGTAGCTGTCAGCTTATGACCATTTGTTTAATGACTGTCAATGTTATGACGGCCTCTGGAAAAGTGATTTATGACGCGTTTTTTAAGTTATAACCACCACAAATTCCAACTCCAATTGTGTTGTATGTCAAGGGCTAAGTGTAAACATATGTGTTTTATAGAGTCTGTATATTATATATAAATATTATAGTAAATTCCAAAAGCAACAAATTAAATGTGTTCCAGTCATTTGTGTAACCAGAATATAAACTATAATGCTATAACCTTTGTTGACAACATTGCATGATTATCAAGAACAGTTATAATATACTCAGTATATAAAAACAATTTATATTCAGTATCAAGTGCCAGTACACTTTTATTTTCTGGAGACAAATAGGAAAAGCCCATAGTTCAAAAACCAGATTAAAGGTTAAGAAACATAGGCGATATCCTTGCTGAGTGCCACATTGTAATTTCATAGGTTGAAAGATAAATGCATTTGTAAAACTCTTGCTACTGGGTGCAAATATGTAATTATAACCCAATACACAAAAGATAGTGGAAGTCCATATCTTCCTAGAAAACATGTTATAAATTCAGCCTGAACCATGTCAAAGGCCCTTCCAACACCCAATGAAATTAAAACAGCTGATTCAAAAGTATCTGTCATGATATCTATAATATCAATCACCAAGCAGATACTTATCTATTTTTTTATAAATCCAGAATAAGATGGCTAAATTACAAATGGTATTATTTTCTGAAACCCATCTAGTGTTTAGTGTCTGCATTAAACAAGGATATTAGTCCATTTCTTGTAATCCTGTGGGGTCTTTCTCAGGCTTTAATATTACTTTATTATATAAGCCTCATAAAACCATACAGGGAATTTAGAAGGATTAAATGATTGACTATAGGCCTCCACCAATAACAGTTGTAAGACCTGGAAGCCATCTTTTACATTTGGGCCTTCAAGCCTGCCACATTTTCTACTGTGGGAAAATGGGAGGGGGGGTTATATGTAGTCAAAATAACATTCTTTTTCAGAGAGTCAAGGCCACCTTGCCCTGCAGTTGCAATGGGAAACATCTCCAATTTTTGATGGTGCCTGATTGGACCATGTGATGGACATGTGGGTTCTGGGCAGGGACTTGAACTTTCACTTGGGTGGGGAAAACCTGGAAACTTTCAGATTTGGGTTTTCCCAGATGTGCCAATATGACATCTCTAATAAAATGGAGCTTTGACGAAACTCAAGCCTTGGAGTCTTCTTTCGTTGGGGGATGTTATTTGGAACCTTGACATCAGTTCCAATAAGACTATAAGAGTTCTGGACCATGCAACTGAAAAACCATGTGTTGCAACTGAAAAACCATGAGTTCTCCTCAGTTTCATAGATTACAACATCTCTGAGATTTCTTGTAATTTTTATTTTTCCTATCCAAAAAAAAAGTTCCATTTCAATATTTCCCAAGAAACTTCCTTGCTTTTTAGTTAATGGTTGCTTACTTGATGTACCTGAATATAAATATAATGTAATAAAGAATATAATAAAACTGATAATTGATAGGTCCTGGCTGACAAAATAGCTGTCTATCATTGGTCTGAATTCCAGATATAAAATTTCATTATTTTTGTTGTATCAAATGATAATGCCAAAAATTTACAGCTTCTCCAGATTATCAATACTTCTGTCTGATACATTTCAGGGTATTCAAAAGGTACTGAGCCTAGAATCCCCACACTTTTAAATGTTGTTTTAAATGTTTGATATGAGTTGTCTGTGTTGTTTCTAGCATATAACAAAAATGAATTTTTAATCTTATTTTCTAATTGTTCAAAATTAGAGTCTCTAAATCTCATTTTTGCTAAGATGAAAGGAACAATGGGTGCCCTCATAGATGCTTACCACAATGACTTAATATCTTGGTAGAACTCCAATTTATTTTTTAAAAATTTCAATTATTCTGCAAAACGTTAATCTCTTAAGAGACAAATGTTAAAATGCCATCTAAAATTAGCTGAACTGTAATTGCTAAAATTCACAGTCAGAGTCCCTAGAGTATGGTCTGTGATTTTAACAAGGCCTACTGATCTACCAAAACAGAAGAACTAAAAATAATCTAATCCAAAACAATTTTAATGTGTTTATTAAAAAAAGATTTTCTACATTTTGGATTCTAACAGTGCCAATTATTTCTTATATCCATTACAGTGCCTTCCAATTTTAAAAATAAATATTTTTTTTCTATTTGAGGATCTTAAATTAAAATCTCCAGTGCAGATTATGTAGTCTGCTGATGATTTTCAGATCATAGTTCAGAGAGCAGCTATGATATATGCTAGAAATGGGATTTGTTTCTGAAAACATTTGCTGTATACTATGGCTTCTAGCGGTCAGGACCTACCTTATTTTGAAAAGTCCAATACAGATAAAATCCTTTTGGATCCACCCGTAGAATGACAGGGTGTGCATTTGCAGATTCCTGGGACGAAAAAGATGCAAGGTTCAAAAATTTTAATCTATTCATTTTTTTATTTATATAACACAAAGAAAATGAATACAGATAGTCCTCAACTGACAACCATTCATTTAGTGACCAAAGCTACAATGACACTGAAAAAGTGACTTACGACTGTTGTTCACACTTACCACTGTTGCAGGGTCCCCATAGTCATGTGATTAAAATTCAGAGAACTCAAAATGTGATCATGGGGGCCCCTGACTTTCAGAAGTCTGAATTCAGGTCATATGTAGCCCCCAGGTGGGTCCATCATAACTTCAAATGGGCGCTAATCAGCCAGTTGTAAGTGGAGGATTTCCAGTGCTGCTGAGGTCAGTTCCTGACTTGTTCCATGTTAACAACTTTATTGAGCACTAGTTAATAACACGGGGTTGCCCGGGTATATTTTTATAGGGGGAGGGGGGAATATCTGGACGAAACATAATTTCCAATGTTAGGTTTTCCCCCTTACTAGAGGGAGCCCCCTTGTGGAATACTGTGAAGCCATTACCATGGCAACTCCACTGCGCTGTACAGTATAAACCACTTTACAGCAGTATAATAGAAGCCATTTTAAGACACAACAGGCTGTATCTTAACAGAACACACACCCTGAGGGATGTTAGAGATGTCTTACCACCACCACCACTGCAGTATTTTTTTCCATAGAGTAAGTCATCTGTGTAGCAAATTTGGTTGAAATTGCTCAAGGCGTTCCAGAGTTATGCTGGAACACACACACACACACACACACACAAAAACACACAGCCATTTTTCTACATATATAAATTATCGGAAACTCTGAAATTGTCTTAATTCAGAATATACCTTTTGTCTTCTAACATAGGTATTGTCATTGTACTACATAGTGTAAATTCCATGAGATTTGCACTGATCTGCTTCAATATGAAAGGCTGAGATGGCATTTCACCTGAAGGAAAATTTACAGTGGACATTTGCAAAAGATGGGATTGTTCCAACAATTTATGTCCAAGTGACAGCTTGCTTATTGCTCTAAGCAATAAAACCTAAATTGGTTGGTTGGTGGATTAACAGGGACTATGCTACCACCATATCCACCTTGCTTTTTGCTTGCTGTCTGCTTATTTAATGTTTTATATTAATATACATAATATTATGTTTATATTATTATAATTTATGAGTTTAATTGAAGGCTGCCCGGAGTCACTTTGCAGAGTGAGGTGAGTGGCATACACATTTAATTAATGAAATCAATAAAATGTTTGCAAAGCTGCTCCATGAAGGAGTAAAAAAATAACCTAGCTAATTTTGATGCACTTGTTCCCAACTTGGATACTGATACTGGTAGCAATTTTAATACACTATCTAAAACAGATATAAATAGACAGAGATAGAGAGATAAAATATACTGATTCAGCTTCCTCATTATTGAACAATGATAATTCTCAAGAAGCTTGAAGAAGAAAAAGGAGATGCTATATTTAGTTACATTCTTGTATACTGCACACATCTTCTTGATTATCAAGTGTAGCCATTTAATCATTTTAGAATAGCGTGTTTCTGTTTTTTAAAAAAGGCAGCCCTTTGCTTTTAAGAATGTATTTTTGGTTTCAAGGGCTTTTCAGTCTGAGTCAAGTTTATTGATAGGAAAGCATTTAAGAGGGAAGAGCAAACATTGAGAAGTTGCCATCCACAGTCATAACACATTGGATCCGCCAGCATTTGAACATACTCTTGCCCCACTAGGATAAGATGTGCTGTATTTCTGTACAAATTATAATCATCATTTCTAAAATTACATCCTTGCCCTCTTCTGCCCTCTTTTGTGAGAATTCTCTCTTCAGTGGAAAGTACGCTAAGGACAACCATGCCAGAATTTAGCAATCTTATGCAAAGCACAGAAGAAGAAGAAAAATAAGCAGTAAGTAAAAAATAAAAATAAAAGGCAGGAGATAAAAGAAAAGGAAACATAGCTAAATCTAGTCTGAGGTGTTTGATGTCACGGGGCTGGGTTGGGCGTGGACAGGGTGGGCGTGGACAGCTCCACATCACTCATGTTGGGGGGGTGGGTGAGGCCCTGTGGTGGGCCAAGCACTCTGCCAGCAAAAATGGGCTCTGTTTTTGGCTGCGACTGCTTCTTGCAACACTCTCCCAGTGAAAATGGAGGTCTGTTTTCATTGGCAGAGGCAATGCAGGCCGGTCCTTTGCTGTTTCCAGGGCAGCCTCATGGGCCAGATCTAAGTACCTCGTGGGCCAGATTTCGCCCCAGGGCCTTGAGTTTGACACCCCTGCTATATAGTGTTGAACAATTCACTAAACATTCTATCTATATATGCCAATTACCTCCCTACGACCAATTAGATCCCACAGATTAGGCCTCCTCCGAATACCATCCGCTAGCCAATGTTGACTGTCGACCCCTCGGGGGAGGGCCTTCTCTGTGGCTGCCCTCTGGAACGATCTCCCCGTGGAGATTCGGACCCTCACCACCCTTCAGGCTTTCCGCAAAGCTACCAAGACCTGGCTGTTCTGGCAGGCCTGGGCTGATGAGTTCCCAGTCCCAATTGAATTGTTGCGACTGTTGTGTAGTTTTAAAGCTGTTTTTTGTATTTGTTTTTGTCTTTGTTTGTTGTTGTATTCCCCCCTTCCCTACCTTGTTTGTTAGCCGCCCTGAGTCCCTCTGGAATAGGGC